GTCTGGCCTGTTTACGCCGGACACCGCGCCCCCCTCGGTGACTGTGTCCCCTTAGGTGGCTACATCCTCCCAGGCTGCAGCGGCTTCTTCGTGTCGATCGCTCACTCACCCATCGCTTCTATGGCACCACCACCTAAGTCACCCTGCACTCCCGCGTCTCCGTCACATGTCCCAGCACGGTCTTGTCTTAGGTCTCCCTGCACCGCTCCCTGCCCTCCCTCCCTTGCCCGCACCCCCGTACACGCCTTGCGTCAAAAGCTTGCTGCGCCGTGCTCCTTACTCCTCGTTTCCCCCACCACTGCGCCACTCCAGACCCTGCACTTAGACGTGTGGGGTCCAGCGCCCGTCCTTGAGTCGCGTTGTGAGCGCTAATTTCTGGTGCTCGTAGACGACTACACGCGCTACACTACGGGGTTTCCCCTGGAGCAGAAGGCCGATGTGCCTGATGTTCTTATTCCGTGTCTTGTAGCTGCGAGCGTCCACTGCGCCCTGCCAGTGCTCCGTCTCCACTCAGACCGTGACGGTAAGTTTGCCTCCGGTCGGCTTGGCCAGTTCTGTCGTGCGGAGGGCATCACCCAATCGTACACCCTGCCGAACTGGCAGCGTCTCCCCGCAGCAGAATGGGGTCGCTGAGAGACGCATCGGTTTGGTCATGGAGGTGGCTCGTACCTCTATTATCCATGCTAGTGCACCCCATTTTCTGTGGCCGTTCGCAGTGCGCTATGCCGCTCACCACCTTAACATGTGGCCGCACTCCTAGCAGCCACACGTTTTATTGACCCTTCTTTGGACCGGATCCCCAAGTGATGTGTCTGCGTTCACGTCTGGGGTTGCCTCGCTCACGTCTACGACTCTCGCATGGACAAGCTCACCGCCCGCACCATCCCCTATGTCTTTCTTGGCTTCCCCCTGGACGCGTCTAACTGGCACTTCTACCACTTGCCGTCTCACCGCTCCTTTCACTCGCGTGACGTCACCTTTGACGAGTCTGTCTCCTTCTATACCCACTTTCTCTACCGAGGTCTCCTAGTTACCCCGCCCCTGTTCCTTGTCCCCACTCCCCCGGTAGCTCCCGCTCCCCGTCCTGCCCCGTCTGGCCGTCACTCCCCTTCCCTCGGTTGGCCCGGCGGAGGATTCTGCTGACTCTGGGAGCCCTGAGGCTCAAGGTCTGCTGCCTGCTACTGTGGCGCCTGCCCTTTCGGCCCCTGTGTCTCCTCCGCCGCCGCAGCAACAGCAGTCGCCGTTGCAGCAGTCGCCGTCACAGCAGTCGCAACAGCCCCTGCAACCGCAGGGGTCCACGAGCTCTGAGGGTACTAGCGATGGGGGTGCGGACGCTCCGGAGGGTTCTCGTTCTGGGGGTGTTGGTGCTGGTTGTGCTAGTCCTGGGGGTGCTAGTCCTAGGGGTGGTCGTCCTTGGGGTGCTGTCGTGGCGAGTCCTGGAGGCAGCCATGGTGCAGCTGAAGGTTCTAGTGTGGGCGCGGAGCAGCAGTAGCAGCAGCAGCAGCAGCAGTCGTCGCCGGTGTCCGCTCTTCGCCTCCTCGGTCTTCCCTCCCTTGACCACCCGCCCGTGCCTCCCCCGTCACCGCCTCCTCCACCTGTCTACGGCCCTATGTTTCCTCTGCCAGACTCGTCCCCGGCTCAATTCCCCCTCTTTCTCCTCCAGTGTCTCCGCCTTTGTCTCCTGACCTGATACCTCCCTCCCGTTGGTGGTCTCACCGTGTCCCTCGTGCTCGTCCTGTCTCTCCTGTTCCACGTTCCCACCCCATGTTGCTCTGGTCTCACATGTCTCGTGCTCCTCTCGCTCCTCTTCTCATGTCGCCTCCACCCAGTCCACTGCCCGGTCCACTGCCCGGTCCACTGCCCGATCCACTGCCTGGTTCACTGCCCGGTCCACTGCCCGGTCCACTGCCCGCTACACTGCCCGGTCCGCTGCCCAGTCCGCTGCCCGGTCCGCTGCCCGGTCCAGTTCCCGGTCCACTTCCTGGTCCACTGCCCGCTCCTCTGCCCGGTGCACGGCCGGTCCACTACCCGCTCCACTGGCCGCCCCACTGCCAGGTGCACTGCTGGTGCACTGCCGTTGCACTGCCCAGTGCCCAGTCCACTCCCCGGTCCACTGGCCGGTCCACTGCCTGGTCCACTGCCGGTGCACTGCTCGGTGCACTGCCCGGTGCACTTCCCGGTCCATTTCCCGGTCCACTGCCGGGTCCACTGCCTGGTCCACTGCCCGGTCCACTGCCCGGTAGAGTGCCCGGTCCACCGGCCGGTCCACTGCCGGTCCACTGCCGATCCACTGCCCAATCCACTTCCTGGTCCACTGCCCGGTCTACTGCCTGGTCCACTGCCCGGTCCACTGCCCGGTTCACTGCCTGGTCCACTGCCGGTCCACTGTCTGGTGCACTGCCTGGTGCACTGCCCGGTCCACTGCCAGGTCCACTCCCTGGTCCTCTGCCTGGTCCACTTCCCGGTCCACTGCTCGGTCCATTGCCCGGTCCACTGCCCGGTCCACTACCCGGTCCACTGCCCGGTCAACTGCCCGATCCATTGCCGGTGCACTGCCCGGAACACTGCACGGTCCACTACCTGGTCCACTGCCTGGTCCACTGCCCAGTCCACTGCCTGATCCACTGCCCAGTCCTCTGCCCAGTCCACTGCCCTGTCCACTACCGGTGCACTGCCCGCAACACTGCCCGGTCCACTGTCCGGTCCATTGCCTGGTCCTCTGCCCGGTACACTGCCCAGTCCACTGCCCCGTCCACTGCCCCGTCCACTGCCCGGTCCACTGCCCGGTCCACTGCCCGGTCCACTGCCCGGTCCACTGCCTGGTACACTGCCCGGTCCACTACCCGGTCCACTGTCGGTCCACTGCCCGGTCCACTGCCCAGTCCACTAGCTGGTCCACTGCCCAATCCACTGCCCAATCCACTTCCCAGTCCACTGCCCGGTCTACTGCCCGGTCCACTGCCCGGTCCACTGCCTGGTCCACTGCCGGTCCACTGTCCAGTGCACTGCCCGGTCCACTGCCCGGTCCTCTGCCCGGTCCACTGCCCGGTCCACTGCCCAGTCCCCTGCCCAGTCCACTGCCCGGTCCACTGCCCAATCCACTTCCCGTTCCACTGCCCGGTCTACTGCCCGGTTTACTGCCGGTCCTCTGCCCAGTCCACTGCCCTCTCCACTGCCCGCTCCACTGCCCACTCCACTGCCCGGTCCACTGCCCAATCCTCTAAACCCTGAGTGATCGCGGGCAGTGGTTAAGCAGCCCGGCAGGCGCATGGCAATAAGGTACATGGTAGCACAGAACGGTTGGGGGAAGGTAGTGAGCTGGGCGGCAGTGCTAGCAGCGCGGTAGCTAGTCTCTAGTGCACAGAGGTGAGTGGCGAGGTCAGCGACAGTGGGGAAAGCGGAACGATCAGGGAATAGCATGGGGAGGATCAGGCGGCCAGCATAGACGGAGGCAGGTGTGGAGTAGCGCTCAACTACTGCATCTATGAAATCCTTGGCGTTCGCGATAGCAGTGAAGCGCGGACGCTCAAACAGGGGAAGAGCATGACTAATGGCGAGCTGGGCTACGACATCGCAGGAATCCCAGAAAGCGCGAGCGAGTGCAGCAGCACAAAAGTCCTCACGCTCAGCAGTGGTGGGGTCAGTAGGGAGGGGATCAGGCGCGGGGGGGCGGGGAAGCAAACCATCAACATGCACAGCCAGGGAGTGCCCATCCTGACCCTGACCTGTCAGGTGATGGCGAAGATCGACAAGCTAGGCGGCGAAGTCGATCGCGTGCCCCTCCACGTCCAGGCGGAGTACGGCGTCCGCCATCGTGGAATCTCAGCAGCATAGCTACACGGCGGCACAGCGACACGGTGGCACAGCGGCTCAACGGCACAGCGACACGGCGGCACAGCGGCACAGCGACACGGCGGCACAGCGGCACAGCGACACGGCGGCACAGCGGCACAGGTATTCAGCGGCATGGCGGCACAGCAGCGTGGCGGAAGGACTCTCCGGCAGGAAGATCGAGCAGGGCGCACAGGGCCCGGGGCGCGCAGCAGGCCGGCGAGGCGCGAGGGGCCGGCGGGACTCGAAAGGGGCGGCGGGGTGCCAAGGGCCGGCGGAGCGCTAGGGCCAGGCAGGGCGCTAGGGCTGGCGGGGCGCTAAGGGCCGGTGAGGCACTAAGGGCCGGCTCGCACGCGAGGGGCCGGCAGGGTTTGCGATGGGCCGGCGGGGTACGCGCGGGGGCCGGCAGGGTGCGCGAGGGGCCAGCGAGCATGCGAGGGGTCGGCGAGGCGCGCGAGGGGCCGACGGGCTCGCGAGGGGCCGGCGGGGTGCGCGAGGGGTCGGCGAGGCGGTAAGGGCCGGCGGGGTGCTAAGGGCTGGCAAGGCGCGCTAGGGGCTGGCGAGGTACGTGAGGGGCCGGCGAGGCGCTAAGGGCCGGCGGGGCGCTAAGGGTCGGCAAGGCGCGCTAGGTGCCGGCGGGGTACGCGAGGGGCCGGCGCGGCCTTAAGGGCCGGCGGGGCGCTAAGGGCCGGCGGGCACGCTAGGGGCCGGCGGGGTGCGAAAGGGGCCGGCGGGGCGTTAGGGGAGCGGCGGGGTGCTAGGGGCCGGCGGGGGGCGCTAAGGCTAGGGTACGACGAGGCGGTAGGCTAGAGCGAGGGCGGAAGCGGGTGGGTGGACCTAACCTACTATGATACCATGTTAGAATAGGAGAATGACTAGAAACAAGTGAGAACAAGGGAGATTCTAGGGTTGGAGTTGTACCCTCTAAGAACACAAACCTATCTAGCCTAGAACTTCTACATACAAAGATATGTATAAGTTGACAAGAGATTGGCGGACAAAGGTTTCGTCAGCACATCCATGCAGGAATGGCTGAATTTGCGAGTTAATCAAAGCCACCACAGTGAGAATCGCGCTTCTGGTTCGGGCGGTGCTCGGGAGGGGTACGGCAGATACTTCGATATACAAATCTCTTGGTTCCCATAGGTGTTGACAAAAGCTAGATGCGCCTACAGGAAATACATTTTTTAAGTGGGTGTAATTATAATGAAATAACGAATATAAGCGCACTTGCACTCAGCGCACTGGGCTAATAAATGGATGGGCCTATATTCGGGCGATTACAGTAGTAGACCCGCCAATACCGGTGGCAAGTTGATGACAACAGGCACTAGCAGAAAGAAAGGCAGCAAACACAACACTTCCATTCTTGTGAACTCATTCATCCTCATCACTACCCTCCTCTTCCTCCTCATCCATATCATCATCATCACCATCCTCCTCCTCCCCTCCCCCCTCATCATCATCATCGAGCTCCCCAATCGCAATGCCCTCTGGATCAAAAGCCATGGGCTCCTGTGGTGGAAAAAGAGGGAGGGAGAGGACACATTGTTAGGAATTGGAGGGGAGATCATAATCATCATCATCCCCATCCTCCTCCTCCTCCCCTCCCCCCTCATCATCATCATCGAGCTCCCCAATTGCAATACCCTGTGGGTCGAAGGCCATCGGCTCCTGCGATGCAACGAGAGAGGGGGAGCACAAACGGGCAGGCAATGGAGGGGAGAGGGCACAGGGCATGGGGCACGGCGCATGGGGCATGGGGCATGGGGCATGGGGCATGGCACATGCGGCATGGCGCATGGGGCATGGGGCATGGGGCATGGGGCATGGGGCATGGCACATGGGGCATGGCGCATGGGGCATGGGGCATGGGGCATGGCGCATGGGGCATGGCGCGTGGGCCATGGGGCATGGGGCACGGGGCATGGGGCATGGGGCATGGGACATGGGGCATGGCGCATGGGGCATGGGGCATGGCGCATGGGGCATGAGGCATGGCGCATGCGGCATGGGGCATGGGGCATGGCGCATGGGGCATGGGGCATGGGGCATGGGGCGTGGGGCATGGGGCATGGGGCATGGGGCATGGCCCATGGGGCATGGGGCATGGGGCATGGGGCATGAGGCATGGGGCATGGGGCATGGGGCATGGGGCATGGGGCATGGGGCATGGGGCATGGGGCATGGGGCATGGGGCATGCGGCATGGGGCACGGGGCATTGGGCATGGGGCATGGGGCATGGGGCATGGGCCAAGGGAGGCTGCCACTGTGGTATGTCATCATCAAAAGATAGGGAGGCTGCCACCGCAGTATACCACCATACCAACCTACAGTGAGACTCTCTACATTCATCCAAGTGAGGATCGTTGCTCCTTGGCCTCACCTCGTCCCCCTTGTCCCATCCCTTGAGTCTCGACTGCCCCACTTGGAAGCTATTGGCCGACAGCGACCGGTGGTTACCAGCAGACACCTCACTCCGTACTCTTACAGTTACATCACCACACATGGCGGTACCCCTCATCTTTGCTCCTTACCTCATCCCCCTTGTCCCAGCCCTTGAGTTTCGACTGCCCCAGTTGGAAGCTATCGGCCAATAGCGACCATGTCGGCTGCTCTGCTGGCGCTGCTGCAGAAGTGGCAGTCTCTGGGTTAGCCTGTGGGGAGATCAGGAGGGGCAAACAGAAGAGAGCAGCAAACAGAAGAACAGAAAACGGGAGAAAAGAAATCGCCAGAACAGTGTGGGAACAGGGTTGCAGGGGAAACAACGAGGGGGGAAAGGAAAAGACGGGAGAGGGAGGGGAACGGCGGAGCCCTTCAGTTAGCACAGGATACATTTTGTTGTCAACTCAGACGTCACCCAGAGCCCTTCCGCAAAGACAGGAGTCATACTTACCTTAAGAAGAGAAGGCGATGGGAAACAGAAGGACGCGGCTTTTAAATCAGCACAGAGACGGCTTGACGGGGAAACCGTGTAACCACCCGACCTCAAGACGGTGAGGGGCGCCACTGAGTAGCAGTGAGTGGCCTACCACTCAGGGAGCGGCAGTGAGTGGCCTACCTTGCCCCCTTGCCAGGCAGCAGCAATTCACTAAGGGAGGCAATGCAGCCAATGCTGCTCATGCTGCCCATGCTGCCCATGCTGCCCATGCTGCCAATCCTGTCACTATCAATGCTGCCAGTGCTGCCAGTGCTGCCAGTGCTGCCAGTGCTGCCAGTGCTGCCAATGCTGCCAATGCTGCCAGTGCTGCCAATCCATTAGGTGTATTCACATGCACTTGCGTGCATTCCCATGTGTGATTGCTTACGAATGCACACCCTTGAGCGATCTTGCGTGTTTGGCAATCTTGTTTATTAGGCGACCTTGGGCGTTGGGCGATCTTGGGCGTTGGGCGATCTTGGGCGTTGGGCGATCTCGGTTGCTGGGGGATCTTGGTTGTTGGGCGATCTTGGGTGTTGGGCATGAACGGAAACGGCTACCGCTCGAGAGGCAAATCGAGTGACCTACCGGCCTCAAGACGGCGATGAGCACCATTGAGTGGCCTACCTTGCCCCCTTGCCTGGCAGCGCTGCCATGCCAACGCCACCATACCTGCTCCTGGTGCCGTCGAGCCTCTGAGCTCAGTGAGGAAAGCTGTGCTCACACATGCTTTTGAGAATTCTCAAAAACACCCTGCAATTCCAAGATTTCAAGTCAGTAACGAACCTTGCCCCCTTGCTTGCCTGCAGCACCGCCAACGCCGCCTACTCCTGCTCCTGGTGCCGTTGAGCCCCTCAGCTCCGTGAGGAAAGCTGCCTTGGTCTTCTTCTCAGCGTCTGCAGAGCGGCGAGGGGGTGATAGATGCAGGTGGGTATGCGGAGAGAGCGTTAGAGTGTGCACAGAGGAGCGGGAAAGTGAATGTGTGTGGTGCTTGCTGGTGCAGTCGAGCCTCTCTGAGCACAGTGAGGAACGCCGCCTTGGTCTTCTTCTCGGCATCTGAAGTGAGGAGAAAGAAAGAATGGAGGCAGTTGACGTGAGGAAGCTGAGTGTGACGATGCCACCTGCATCAACTGGCAACTGAGCCACAAGAATGGTCGCTGTGTAACCGTGTAACCGTGTTCATCACCACATGCATCAACTGGCAACTGAGCAACTGAGAATTTGAGCAACCGACTGTCGCTGCTTTTGATTCGGCCCGAAAGCACACACGCACCAACTGGCAACTGGCAACTGGCAACTGACTGAAGCACCTACCTTTGCTGGATGCTTGCTTCTGCACCTTTTGGGCCTTGCTGACCTGCCCGAGTGAAAGGTGGATGGGGCACAAACAATGTAACAATGTGACAGTAACCATGTAACAATGTGACAGAGTAACCATGTAACAATGTGACAGAGTAACCATGTAACAATGTGACAGAGTAACCATGTAACAATGTGACAGATTAACCATGTAACAATGTGAAAGTAACCATGTAACAATGTGACAGAGTAACCATGTAACAATGTGACAGAGTAACAATGTAACAATATGACAGAGTCACAATGTAACAATGTGACAGAGTAACAATGTAGGGGGAAAAAGTGGTTGGCACTTTGAAGGACAGCATTTAGAACCAAGAAACGCATGAGCGGAAGAGGGAAGAGAGTTGCACACTGGAGTAAGGGGGTGAGAGGGAGGGAGGAAGGGGGTGAGTGAGTGGGGGGAAGGGGGTGAGTGAGAGGGGGGAAGGGGGTGAGTGAGAGGGGGGAAGGGGGTGAGTGAGAGGGAAGAAGGGCTCAACGGACGTACTGCATTGAAGAGGCGAACAACTGTCAGTGCAGGCAGAGGAACGCAGCGAGTGACATGGCGTAGCACAGGGTGGGATGGAGAAAAGAGGCAGGATTAAGGAAGAAGAACGGAAGGGAGAACCACATTGACGAGGCGAACGACTGTCGTTGCAAGCAGAGGAATGCAGCGAGTGACATGGCGTGGCACAGGGTGACATGGCGTGGCACAGGGTGAGAGTCTAGTGTTGAGGCGCCTCAAAACTAGACTCCTATCACGTGACATGGGGTGGCACAGGGTGGGAGTCTAGTTTCGAGGCGCCTCAAAACTAGACTCCTATCACGTGACATGGCGTGGCACAGGGTGGGAGTCTAGTTTCGAGGCGCCTCAAAACTAGACTCCTATCACGTGACATGGCGTGGCACAGGGTGGGAGTCTAGTTTCGAGGCGCCTCAAAACTAGACTCCTATCACGTGACATGGCGTGGCACATGGTGGGAGAGAGGGAGAAGAAGGGCGGGGGGGGGGAGGTGGGGGGAGGGAGGGGGGAGGGAGAGGGGAGGGAGAGGGGAGGGAGGGAAGAGGGATGGAGGGAGAGACACATATTACAGCAGCAGAGAGGGGAGGGCAGAAAGCAGCAGGTGGGATGAGCGAGAATGGCAGTCAATGTTGAACCGGCACGAGCACAGGGTGCGTGCAACACCATGATCCCTCTCTTGTGCCTATGAGAAAAGGCATAGCGTCAGAAGAGCCTCTTCTTCTCATCTCCCTTGGTTCGCCTTCTCTCACCTCCCTTGGTTCGCCTTCTCTCACCTCCCTTGGTGGCGATCTTGACCAGAGCCTTTTCCTTTGGACCCAGATATGGCTCGGGCAGAACATGAGCCATTTCCCGTGCCTTCAAGGGGGGGGGGGGCAGGGGGGAGGGGGGAAAGCGGTGGGGGGGGGTTGGAAGGGGACAGGGTGGAGGGTGAAGGGGGTTGCATGGATTACACAAGGATAGGGCTCGGGCAGAACATGAGCCGGCTCCAGTGCCTTTGTGTAAGGGAGTGGTGTTGACGGGGGGGGAGGGAAGGGGGGGGGGAGAAAGGGGAGGGGGTGGATGCATGGTGGAACCATGGTGGATGCATGGTGGATGCATGGTGGATGCATGGTGGATGCATGGTGGATGCATGGTGGATGCATCAGCAGAGCAACACGGAAGCCCGGACACCACATGTGCTATTTTGCATTCCATTGTGTGGAAAGGCAGGGTCGGGTCGGGATGGAGGAAACGGTGCTAGCAGAAGCGCAGCACAGCTCATAACCGCCTTTACCCTCTCCCCCCCAACCCTCCCCCCAAACACCCCCCCTTCTCCCCTTTTCTCCTTCGGCTTAGAAGAAGAAGCAATTTACGGATAGAACGCTTTGAGCCGACTCAAAAGCCCCCCTTTTCACCTTTGGCTTAGAATTGAAGCAATTTACAGATAGAATGCACCAACGCTTACCAACAGCTTCGCCTGCTTCCTCTCAGCCGCCGATGCTGCCGCATGCCAGCAGCTGCTGCTGATACCAGCAGCAGCCAATTCCGCTGCTGCTGCTCCAGCTTTCCCTTCCTCGTTCCTTACACACAGTTTCACTTCTACCTGCAACACCACCTAGAGATCGTCTACCTAGAGATCCCTACCTGCAACACTACCTAGAGATCGTCTACCTAGAGACCCGCAACACTACAGCACTCACCATTAGCTTGGCCTGCTTCCTCTCAGCCGCAGACACCACCTTGGCTTTCGACGTCTCCTTCCCCTCGGCTTCCCTTCCTTCCTCTAGCAACTTCTTCCGCGCTGCTAGGATGGGCGCCTGGGGGCAGGGCGAGAACAGGGGAGAGGCAAGGGCAGGGATCGAGGAGGAGGAATGGGGAAGAGGGGGGAAAAGGGGGAAAGGGGGAAAGGGGGAAAAGGGGGAAAGGGGGAAAGGGGGAAAAGGGGGAAAGGGGGAAAGGGGGAAAGGGGAAAAGGGGGAAAAGGGGAAAGGGGGAAAGGGGGAAAAGGGGAAAGGGAAGGGGGCGCCCTTCCCCTCGGCTTCCCTTCCTTCCTCCAGCAGCTTCTTCCGCACTGCTAGGATGGGCGCCTGGGGGCAGAAAGGGGAGAGGCAAGAGAGGGGGAAGGGGGACTGGTGAAGAGAGGGAATGGAGAAGGGGGCAAGAGGGCAAGAGGGCAAGAGGGCAAGAGGGCAAGAGGGCAAGAGGGCAAGAGGGCAAGAGGGCAAGAGGGCAAGAGGGCAAGAGGGCAAGAGGGCAAGAGGGCAAGAGGGCAAGAGGGCAAGAGGGCAAGGAGGAACGGGGGAGGAAAAGCGCCCCTCCTTCCTGCTGATGCTGATGATACTGATGCTCATCCCCTAGACCCTACCCTGTAGCTCTCACCTTGCCGGTAACAGCGACCTTCTTCGTCATGAAGCTCGCGAAGGCATATGCCCTGACCTGTTGACCTGTTGACCCTGGGTTGACCAGTTCACCTGTTAGGTCCTAGACCCTAAACCCCGACCATATTGCTCTCACCTTGCCGGAGCCGGTAACAGCGACGTTCTTCGTCATGATGCTCGCGAAGGCCTTGGCGAACGACGGCGATGGCGCTGCTGATCCTGCTGCGCCTCCCCTTCCGCCCTCCCCTTCCCCATCATCCTCCTCCCCTTCCCTCCCCTCCTCCCCTTCCTCCCCATCCTCTACACTATCCCCCTCATCTGATTCCTCTTCCTCCTCCTCCTCCTCCTCATCCTCCTCCTCCTCCTCCTCGTCCCCTCTATCATCTCCACTCTCACCCTCACTCATCCCCTCCTCCTCACTTTCCTCCTCTCCCTCACTCTCTCCCACACTTCCCTCCTCCCCATCCCCCTCCTCCTCGTCCTCTACAAATTCCGCCTCCTCCGCTTCCTCTCCCAAACCTTCATCCCTAAACCCTCCACCCTCCCCTCCTAAACCCTTTACAGGAGATCCCGATAAACCCTTTCTCTTAACCCCCCCCTTGCGCGCAGCGGAATCCTCCTTCCCCCTATCCCCCTTTATTTGCGCAACAGCCGCCCCACCCTTTAAAACCCTCTCTTGCGCCTCTCGCCTGTCGAAATCGCGCCCTTCGTTAGTATCACCTCCGTCTCCTATCAACCCCGCTGCCGCCGGTTCGGCAGAGATTTTCCTCTTCGCATCTACAACAAGTTTATTCTCTGCCCCGATAGGAGCGTCTCCGTTTGAAGCCTCGGGAGTGCCGCGCTTGCGCGTCTTCCCCCCTTCTTTCTCATCCTCGCTGCCACTATCGAAGCGGTCTAGAAACGAGGACGAAGATGACAGCTGCTTGCGCTGGCGCTTCTTCCCCTTACCACCGTGACTGCCGCCGTGTTTCTCGCTGGTGCCGTCTAGGAACTCGACAATTCCGGTTGTCGCCATGGTTGGGTTTGGCAAGGGCGGAGAATGGGGAGGAGAGAGTCAAAACGTGTTTTTTCAATATTTATATAATCATCCCAGTGAGCAACAGCTCTCGTAGCTCAGTTGGTTAGAGCGTGTGGCTGTTAACCACAAGGTCGGTGGTTCAAGCCCACCTGGGAGCGCTTCTTGACCGTTTTTTTCTTCCCCGATTATGCTGCTGCTACTCTTCCTGCCCCCCTGTTGCGTCTGCTCCTCGTTTCTTGTCCCATGTGTCATCCATTCACTTGCATTGGATTTAACAAACTCCAAGGGTCATAGTAATAGGCAAAATCCAAGTTAGATGTACTTGCGAATTGCGATTCTAGACATTGATTTTACATTTGTACAGAACACATGTAACAGACGGGTATAGTTTCCAAGAGGTTCTACAGTCTAAGATCCAAGTCTAACCCTTGGCATTCAGCCACAGCAGTCACACCACCAATCCCCACTCCCTTGACACTACCAAGGAGCTCCATCTCCCCATAGAGCCCTGCTGCTGCTGGTGGTGCTGCTCCCCCTCCTCCCTGCACTCCTGCTGCCGGTGGCTTCTGCTGACTCAGCCTAGAGGCCAGCACGGCAACCAGCATGCTGAGCTGGCTCCCTGCCACGTCATCAGCTCCCTGAGCCGCGCTGGACGCGCCCATTCGCCCGTCAGCCAGAGCCAGAGCAGGAAACGATGACATGTTACCAGTGGCTGGAGCCGGGGTTACAGCGGCAGTTACCACAGATTTTGTTACAGGAACAGACTGCTGGGGTTGCCCCACTGCCCCTGTCAGCTGCATCCATTGCTGCTCTCCCTCTGGCTGCCTCACTCTATGCTCCGTTACAGTTTGCTCCTTAATCCGCGTCAGCTGCTCCCTCGCCTGCCCCCTCCCTGCAGCCCCCTGCTGCTGAGGCGGCAGCGCCTGCTGCTGCTGCTGCTGCGCATGCAGCACCTGCTGCTGCGGCGGTGGCCGTTGTTGGTGTAGGCCCCCCTGCGCCAGTCTGCCGCGCTTCTCCTTCTCCTGCATCACCAGCGCCATCAGCTGCTGCAGCTGACCCGCCTGCCCCGCGCCGTTACAGTTGAAACCGCCGCCACCGCCACTGCCGCCGCCGAAGCTGCCGCCGCCTATGCTGCCGCCATTCAGGGCGCGGCCAGCAATGCCGCCACCGCCCATCATTCCAACCAATCGCTGCGCCATCATCATCCCCGCCATCCCCGCGGCGTCTGCGCCCGGCCCCCCAAACAGGGGAACGTTGGTGGGGGTCGTCGGGCTAACCGGATTGCTCCCCGCGGCCGTCAGCTCCGTCAGTGATGACGTCAGCGAGTTCATCCGGTCCGTCAGGCTCAGGCAGGACCCCGCGAGCGCGCCAATCCGACGTGGCGGCATTGCTGACGTGTCCGACGGAGTGACCGCGCCCCCGTCGCGACCGACGTCACCGACCATCGCTTTAGTGTCATCTCCGGCGCCCGTTATAAGAACGCTTGGCGGTTGCCACTTCCCCGCGAGTCCGATTCGGCCGAACCGCTGCGCTTCCACCTTGCTCGGCGAGTTTGCCTGGACCGGGCCGGCTTTCTTGGTCGTATTCTCAGCCCCTGCGTCGACGCCCTGCTTCCCACGGCGCTCTGAGCTAGCGCCGAAGCGCGCTCTGCCGCCCGATGCGCCCCTTTTGGCGGCCTGCGCCGGGTGATCCGCTCCACCTGGCTGGCTGTCGGCGCGGCTCCGCTTCGCACCGCGCCGCTGCTGCGACGATGATGACGACTTCGCAGCGATCGCCGTCGCCGTCGCACCAGACGACGGGACCGTCGTCGCTGACGGCGACGGCGACAGCGATCGCAGACACTGCGACGCCGCTGCCGCGGCGCTGGCGACGCTTCGAGACTCCTCAAGCGATCCCTCTTGCAACCCCGTCGCCCCCACCGCGTCCGCAACAGCCGGCGCCGGTGGCGGCGGCGGGGAGCCGTTCTTGCTCGGCGCGGAGCCGCTGCTGGCAGGCTCCGCGCTGCTACAGCCGCCGCCACCCGCCTGGCCGCCAGCCGGGCGGATCTTCTTGTCCTTAGCGTGATATGTCTGGTAGTGGAAGTCAAGCGAGTGAAGCGACGGAAACTTGTTCGAGCACTCCCGGCACGCGTACGGTCCGCCGTTAACCGCGCCGATATTCGCTGAGGTAGCGACAGTCGGGCTTAGGAGCATGAGCAAGTCGGCTGCCGATAGGCTGGTCTTGGCTTTAAAGACCGCGGAGTTGGAAGCTTCGTGGAAGGCCGCGCGTTTGGACGCGGCGGAGTCGACGGCGCAGAGGAGAGAGACGGGCGTCTGACGGAGGACCGGCAGAGCTCGACGGCCGGCGGATTTGCCGGCTAGCAGGCCGTCGGAGGCTGATCGAGCGGCCAACGCCATGATTGTACTGAATCGCCTCTGACGACTCTATCACCTCAGAAGGCTATCACTTTCACTTCTCTTTAAAAGCTTCCCAGCTGAAGCGGCTCGGGAGGAAAATAAGGCTCTCGTTCTGTCGCCCTGATGGGTCCGGACAGGATCTTAGGGACGCGGAATAGTGCGACAGGATGCGTGAGGTAGTATATCGCGACGCGGAAGCTCGAGACGCGGATGAGGATCGCAGCGATGCACGGGGTTTCCAGCTTTCGTCGAAACGATTCGATCCAGGGAGATTAACTTGAGGTAATGTGCGCTCGATCGTGGAAGTAAAGGCGCGGAACTCGCGAGTCTGTATGAGAAGGTGAGATGGTTCTCGCTTTCTAATGAACGGCGCGAGGCTGGGGCTGATTTGTACAACACTACTAGATCTGCGACGAGCCTCTGAGGCTTTCTACCGAGTCGACCGGGAAGCGCCACGGACTAACGGGACGTCGCACATGGCGCGAAAGGACCGTCCAACGAACGGGGCGACAAGAGGGTGGTGTGTGTTGACAAAGAAGGGTGAATGAAGTGTGGCGTGGCCAGATGCCTGGGCGATTTGTCCTGTCAGGTCGTCCTGGCAAAGGTTTGTTGCAACCTTTTTGAAGCTGAAACCGCAAGAGACTGTCGGTGCGCTTCCGCAGGAGTCCTTTCCTCCTGCTGGTGAATGGTGATGGAAGGAAAGGTGACTGACTGCCGGATGTGTCGCGCTAAGGCCACTGGGCCTGGGGGCGTGGAGGAACAGAATAGGAGGGGGCCTGGCCGTCCATGCGCCAACGACGAAAGAATAACCGCAGGCAGTGTGCTGCACGCTGTTACAAAGCAGCATGCGTCGGGATCGGGACCTGAATAGGAGCACTATGGGGGCGGCTTGTTCACGTTTTCTCAACGCATTGTAGATTCCTAAAACGCCAGGGCACGTTGATCCAAGGGGCTCCGCCTTCCAAAGGCAACGAACGTAACGTGCTGTACAGGCCACGAGATAGAGGCATGGCCGCACGGCTGCCATTGCAGTGGTGAAAGACATGCCAAGTCGCAGCAGTCGGCGGGAAACTGGCGCGAGAATGGAAGCAGATGAAATGTGAAAGCGAACGCGACGAGATTGGTCGGTGTGTTACAGCGTGTAACTTACAAACATCCGTGATGGAAAAGGCCAGCGCTTCAGTTTTTCGTTTCAGCATTATGCACTAGCGTGCCTGCCGCGACGATTCTGCTGCTGTTACACAACTCTGAACGAGGATTGGTCGATACGGGGAATCGGGGATGGCGAAATGGGTGGGTGCTGCTTTTGGTGCCAAACGAGAGGAAAACGACGACTGCCGCGATTGGGAAGAGGGACGGTGCGTGCGAAAGCGAATTCGCGAGCTAGTCGCTAACACTCGCCACCAGGCAGTCGGCGGTTGAGGATGAACGGGGAGGGCCACAACCGTGACATGTCATCCGCGACGTGCGCGTTCCGCTGACACGCGGGAGTGGTTTTGCGGGCAGCGGGAGAAAGCGAAGCACGCGGGGAGAGCCATGGCAGAAACCAGCCTCGTGAATTTGCGCCAAAAGCGCGTCCTCCTCACATTTCCCAGTCAAGCCAGGCTGCCAACTTGCGCCATTCTCGGGGGGACGACGAGAAAATGGGACCAAGTCTCCCTGAGAAGATCCCCCGACCGCGATATGTCAACTGTGGAGCGCAGGGCAGAGCATAGCATCCCCCGCCCGAATCCCATGATACTGTACAGTATGTGAAGTGTGTGGGGGGAGGGGGAGCCTCTGAACTGAACTGTTCGCAGGACCTGCTGACTCTGGTCACATCGCATCACATCCCATTCCGGCCTGACCTAGGTTTTTTGCTAGCTCGGACGATTTGGGTCCATATGGAAACAACCCTGTAAAACCCGAGCCGAGCCAAAAACTGTTCGGATGAATCAGGGTCCGAGCCGAAAAAGGCCTGAGCGCTACCAATTGTTGCGGGGTAGGAAAAAATGTGCCCACGCCACTACTTCGGTAGGGCAATCGGGTTTGGCCTCGCTCCTGCAGCGCCACGGCCGAGGGGAAGAGGGGGGAAGGGGTCACTCACCACCCAAGACGGTGACTCAATCTGTAAGTGATACAGAATAACATAACCCTGGCTTCCAGCAAGGTGACTCCCGAATTTACCGGGCTTTGAGGGGTGTGGGGCGAGATTTGGGGGAGGGAATTGGGGAGGGTGGCAAGATTGGGCGGGGGCAAAAGTTGAGGCCAGAAAAAAAGGGGAAGTATTTGGTGGGAGGGTTGGGGGGTTGGGAGGGGGGTTTGGTGGGGGGAGATGGGGGGAGGGAAGAGGTTTGGAGAGGGGGAAAGGTCCGGGTTGCCCTGGAATTCCCCTGGATCTATACGGGTCCCACGAAATTTCTCCCCGTGTAATTCTGGGATGTCTGGGGAAAAGCCTATGTGAAATACGGGCTACGATTAAAAACACCTTGGATTTTCAATCAAGACAGGGTGATAATCCTGTTATTGTCAGCCCTTCCCGCCCCTCAATTTGGCAAACCGGCCACCACCGGACCAGATTGGCTCTCCAGATCACATGACTTGACAAAGACAGTGCACGATCGATGGCGACTTGGTATCCACAGTTTTGTTGCACACGACCTGCAAAGGGTTTTCACTGTACCAAAACTTTGCTCTGTACGGCACTGTAGAAGCATTCAAGCAGTCACACCATGTGTCGAAGTTTGAGCAAAATGCAAGGAATTGGTGGTGCATGAAATGAATGTGAAAGGCATTCTGAACGGAGTACAGTGCACGGTGTACTGTACAGGCTGGAAAAAAATGTGCAGAATCGAGGTCGACTTCGTTGCTCCATTTTGTCAGTGGTCAAACCCCTCGTCCAATAGCAAACGTATGACGCCAGCCCGACTCTCCGCAAGTAGCTGTGGAAGTCAATCGTTTCTTTTCTTGCTCAGGGTGGGCGAAGTTCAGATTTCGGAAGCTGCCCATGAAATCTGTTTGAAACGGCCCATACTACACCGATTACACTAGGGCAGCTTTCCTCAGACCAGATGCTGGTTATGAACTGTACAGTACACCTAACCTGCGACATCTTCATTACCAATAACTTCTTGTACGGTTTACCCTTTGATCTTAGGCTACCCGTGGCTGACTCAAGCAAATATTGAAATAACGTGAGCACTTTCCTGGCTACAATAATATGGGCCTCTGCGAACTCTCACGGGCTTCGACGACAATCACAGCATAACTGTTTCAGTGCGAGGGGCGTGCTCTTCGATTCAGCCCTACTCTGCCTGTAGAACTAGACACAATGATTTGGGGTTACCTTCACCCCAGGACTCGAGCCGTGCTGGGCGTGTTTGACTCGAAAGATTCCAGGATGTGAAAATGTCGCGATCTAGGTGTACAGAACTGAACTGCCAGGAAGATCCGCAAAAAGACGAAACGGTTGGCAGCAATGAGCTTCGTTGTCGTCGGATACAGCACACCGCAGGACTTTCTTCAGCCGACAACGTCGGAAGGTGCACGTTTCGTGGCACCACCATCTGGCCACAGTGACCGTTTCGAAACACGTTGTCAGAACATTTCGTGTGTTGACGACCGACCTCGTCAAGCTGCCTCGTTGCAGTGTGGCAGCAATACTGTACAGTACCAACCATGAACTGTACTGTCTTGTAGTTGCATGCCTACATGAATCACAGCAGACCTGGACTGTATAAGTTCATACTGAGAAGTAAGAGACCAATGCTTGTATCGAGTTTCACTAACCAAAAATTGCATGCTGGGTAGCATGCTGCACTGAACAACGGTGATGCTGCAGCGGCGGAACAAATATGCCCTGCATATTTGAGAAATACTCATCGTCAAAATCGGGTTGAGCGTTTATCGCGTACGGAAGTGAATGTGTGTCAGAAATTGGCGGGAAGTCCCACAACCCACCTCCCACAAGAAATTACGCAACCAAGATAGTATCAGCCTAGATAGTAGCAGCCCAACCATAGACTGAATTCTGCAGCCTACAAGTCGTCATTCTGACAACCCCTGAAACCGCACCAGTTCACCCCGGCGAGGTTACTACACGCAGCCCCTAAACGTTGGACTTCTGTGCGAGCGGGACTCTAAGTACCTAGGAGACTCCAAGCACGAGAATACGCATCTATCCTCTCGGCATGCTTAATGCGGTTACCGAGTGTTCCGTAGCAGTAAGGTTACAATAGTGTACAACGTCGCCACAGTTAACTATAGTCAGGTTTCCATTCTGTCCGTATTAAGCACATTCGTAACCTCGGGAAACCTGGTGCAGGATCTTCCGCCTGCTTTCCCGTTAAAGCCCGGTCTCACATAAACAAAGCCCGGATACGAGACCCGGGCTTTAACCTATTCCCCACGCGATGAACTTCTTTCGGCGGAAGGCGCAGGTTCAGCCGGCGCCGGACCGCGAGCCTCAGGACCCGTCGCATGCCGGGAAATCCGGCGCAAGTGACGGCGCTGCGCGGCCCGATGGCGGCGCGAGCGGCGGCGCGACGGACGCCCCGACTGGCGGCGCGAAGGACGGCGTGGTTCGCGCTGTGTCGGGCGATTGGATGGGCCGGCCAGATCTTAGGGGCGAAGAGTAAGTCGGTGTGGGATGTGTGCTTGAGGTGAAACGCTTTTTGAGTATTAGTAGTAGTAGAAGGCTCGCATGGGATATATCTTTCACCATAGTAGCCTCTCGAGCAAAGGAAAAGCAAAGGAGCAAAGAAAGCATCCCTACCTTTCCGCGCACCTTCACCTCCTCCCCCCTCCCCCCCCCCTTTTCCCCCCACTCCCCCCTTCCCCAGCTGCTCGTTCCTTCCTTTCCCATTCCCCCTCCCTCCCCGCTCCCCCCCGCCTCCCCCCGCCACCTCTCTTCTCCCCCCCCCACAGGCTCGTGCACATCCACGTGCCTGGGACGCTCGGGCTCTTGGCCCGGCCCAACGCCAGCCTGGCAGAGATCTGGGAGGCTCGGCCGGACCTGCTAGGCTCGGGCCGGCGCTACTTCCTGACGACCCGGCTGCGGGGGGAGACGGGGGGGAGGGGGGAGAGCTTGGCGCGCGCGAGTGCCAAAGTGGAGGTGCTGTTTCACGGAGGGGACAGGCTGCGAGCAGGACTGCGATACCGTGCGCACTGCTGGCTGGGTGAGTGGTGACGAGATGGCTGCTGGGGGGGACGGGGGGGAGGGGAGACGTAGGGGAAGGGGAAGAGCTTGGCGCGGGCGAGTGCGAAAATGGAGGTGCTGTTTCGCGGGGGGACAGGCTGCGATCTGGACTGAGGTACCACGCGCACTGCTGGTTGGGTGAGTGGTGGAAGGGGAGAGAGCTTTGAGCCTTCTCAATGCAAGCGGTGGTGCTCTGATAGTGCAAAGTGGAAGTGCTGTTTCGCGGGGGGGATAGGCTCCGAGGTGGATTGCGCTACCGCGCGCACTGTTGGCTGGGTGAGTGGTGAGCTCTAGAATGGGGGACGAGGGGGGGGGGGGGCAGGGCAGGGGGGGGTTGAAAGCGTGGGGGATGGGGAGAGCGGGGGAGGGGGGAGAGCAGGGGGGGGTGGGGAGAGCTTGGCGCACGCGAGTGCCAAAGTGGAAGTGCTGTTTCGCGGAGGGGACAGGCTGAGAGCAGGGCTGCGATGCCGCACTCACTGCTGGCTGGGTGGGTGGTGAAAGGGAAGAGGTCAAGAGGCGAAGGCACCTAAATGCGACTGCCAAAGTGATAGGAGGTGCTGTTTCGCGGAGGGGACAGGCTGAGAGCAGGGCTGCGATGCCGCACTCACTGCTGGGTGGGTGGGTGGTGAAGCTGCAAGGGGTTAAGAGGGCAAGGCACTGAGAGCAGGGTTGAGATGCTGCCTGCACTGCTGGCTGGGTGGGTGTGCACTGGGGTGATGGAGGGTTAGCACACCCTGGGGTGGGTGATGGAGGGTTAGCAGGTGGCAGAGCGGGACAGGCTGAGAGCAGGGCTGGGATACCGGGCTCACTACTGGCTGGGTGGCTGGGTGTTGGCTAAGGGGTAAGGGTTTGCGGCCAAGTAACACAATCAGCTAGATGCCTGCCCATTCTGCTATTCTCTGTGCCTCCCATGCTGCTGGTTGCAGGGCCAGAGGCTTCAGGAGCGGGCAAGGGGCCGGTAGGCCGGGGTGGTGAGAGGGAGGGCGGGGAGCAGCAATCCATGTCCTCGCACCTCGCATTCGCATCGCTCTCGTGAGTTGGCCCACTTGAAGCTATTGTTCTATAGTGGGTGTGATGAGAGGGAGGGAGGAGGTGGGGAGAAGGAGGGAGAGGTTGAGAGAGGGAGGGGGTGGTGTGAGGGAGGGGTTGAGAGAGGGAGGGGGTGGTGTGAGGGAGGGGTTGAGAGAGGGAGGGGGTGGTGTGAGGGAGGGGTTGAGAGAGGGAGGGGTGGTGTGAGGGAGGGGTTGAGAGAGGATGGGTGGTGTGAGGGAGGGGTTGAGAGAGGGAGGGGGTGGTGTGAGGGAGGGGTTGAGAGAGGGAGGGGGTGGTGTGAGGGGGGGGTGGCAGGGAGCAGCATTCCCCCTCGTCGCACCTCGCATGCGCATCCCTTTCGTGAGTTGCTGCAGAGATGGGGTGAGGAGGAGAGGGAGGGGGTGAGGAGAGGGAGGGAAGGCACCGCTACTTCCTAGTCACTCACACCTGCAGTGCTCTCCCCGTTTTCCACCTCTCTCCCCCTCTTCATCCCAGCTTTGCGCACATCACAGCACGCCAGCAGATCAAGGAGGTCCCAGGGGGCACGGCTCTTCAGCAGCTATGGAGACGACAACCCCCGCTCACACTGCTCTCCTCCCCTGCGCTCTCCCCCCCTGCGCTTTCCCCATCCCAGCTTTGCGCGCATCACAGCAGGTCAGCAGACCAAGGAGGTCCCAAAGGGCGCGACTCTGCACCAGCTCTGGAGACGACACCCTACTCTGTGTGCCGGCCACCGCTAATTCTTAGTCACTCACACGCACATGCACACTCACACTCACACTGCTCTTTCCCGCCTCTATCCACCTCCTGTCCCTCCCTGCTTTCCGCACATAACAGCAGGCCAGCAGACCAAGGAGGTCCCAGGGGTTGGTGCCATGTATGTAACATGTATGGTGCCAGCACCCCTCTGTGCTGGCCACTACCAGCTGTTTCTAAGTCACTTACACTCGCACTGCTCTCTTCCCCCCCTGCTCTTCCCACATCCCAGCTTTGCGCGCATCACAGCAGGCCAGCGGGCCAAGGAGGTCCCAGGGGGTGGTGCAATGTATGCAACATGTATGGTGCCAGCACCCCTCTGTGCTGGCCACTACCAGCTGTTTCTAAGTCACTTACACTCGCACTGCTCTCTTCCCCCCCTGCTCTTCCCACATCCCAGCTTTGCGCGCGTCACAGCAGGCCAGCAGGCCAAGGAGGTCCCAGGGGGCACGACTCTTCAGCAGCTATGGCGGAGACACCCCACTCTGTGCGACGGCCACCGCTATTTCCTCGTCACTCACACGCACACCGCTGCTGCTGCTGCTGCTGCTGCTGCTGCTGGCAGTGCTGCCACTGGGGCTGCTGCTGTTGCTGCAGCTGCTGCGGATGATGCCGATGTGTTATTTCGCCCACAGGACGTGTTACAAGCGGGCGCTTGTTACCGTGCCGAGCCCGTGAGGGGTGAGTGAGGGGTGAGTGAGGGGTGAGTGAGGGGTGAGTGAGGGGTGAGTGAGGGGTGAGTGAGGGGTGAGTGAGGGGTGAGTGAGGGGTGAGAGGGTTTGTGAACGTGCGATGCTAGAGTAAGACGTGTTACAAGCCGGCACTAGTTACCGTGCTGAACCCGTGAGGGGTGAGCGCCTTTGTTCGTACTCTGTGGGTGGGTGGGTCGGGTGGGTGGGTTGGAGGAGAAGGGGTTGTTTGAGGCGCCTCAAAGCTAGATTCCTATCACGGGGATTTGAGGTGCCTCAAAAATAGACTTGTTACCACGCGAAACCGGTGAGAGGTGAGCGCCATTTTTCATACACTAAGAGCATGTGTGGCGGTGGGAGGAGGGGATTGGAAGCTGGGGAGTGTATGGGGGGAATCACCCACAGGAAGAGGCGTTGTTGTGTGCCCCCCGTGGTTTTCTGACGTGACGTTGACCCTCCCTGCCGTGAGTTTGACCCTCCATAACGCCACCCACAGTGCCACCCACAGTGCCACCCACAGTGCCACCCACAGTGCCACCCACAGTGCCACCCACAGTGCCACTCACAGTGCCACCCACAGTGCCACCCACAGTGCCACCCACAGTGCCACCCATAGTGCCACCCACAGTGCCACGCACAGTGCCACCCACAGTGCCACCCAGAGTGCAGCACTACCCACGGTGCCACCCATAGCGTCAGCCGCAGCAGGCACCACAGATTTCCCACAGGGAGGTCATGGGGGGTAGAGGCGGGGTTGACTCTAAGAGAGGTCAGGGGGGGTAGAGGCGGGGTAGACTCAGAGAGAGGTGCACTGAAAACTGAAGGTCGTCGTAATCCAACCGTCTCCGCTTCCTTCCTTGCAGTTGTACCTGAAGCACCCGCAGTAGCCACCCTAGAGCTCCCAAAGGAGACTTCCTGGGGGGTAGAGGAGAGGCCGGGTTGACTCTGAGAGGCCGGGTTGCACCGAAAGCGCATCCTCATCCCCCCCTCTCTCCCCCCCCCCCCCTTTTGCCACTCCACCTTCTCCTCCTGCGGGCGCCTTGCAGCTACACCCACAGCACCTGCACCAGCCAAATAGAGCCCTTGGATGGGACTTCAAGGGAGGTTGAGGAGGGGTTGACTTCAAGGGAGGTGCACTTCTTGGATTACTGCAGCTGGCCGGCGGAGCTATTCCTAATCCACCCCTCTCCACCCTCCTCCACCCTTCTTCCCCTCCTCCCCCACCCCCCGCGCCTCCTCTTTCAGGCCCCCTTGCCTCTATGCTTGCCCCTCCTCTACAATCAGACCCGTTACAAGCCACAGCTGCACCCACCACCTCTGCAACATTCCCACCCACAGCCCCGCCCACAGCCCCGCCCACAAGGGCTACTATAGAGCTGCCAGATGGGACTGTGCGGGAGATAGAGGCAGGGTTGACTCTGAGGGAGGTGCACCGAAAGTTGTCGGACTACTGCGGCCGGCTGGCGAAGCTCGTCCTACTCCCTGGCTCGGACGGTGGTTGGAGTGAGGGTGCTGCTGCTGCTGCTGGTGCCGGCGCTGCTGTTGCTGGTGATGGTGATGGTGCTGCTGCTGGGGGATCCACCCCTGCATCGTCTTATGACAACAGTACATCTAAGTGCACCAGCAGCTCCACCGGCACAAGCACCAGCACCAGCAGCAGTGCGCTGCTGTTTGGCAATGACCCCCAAGTGCTTCTGCTGCCTAACGATACTGTCAAGGCTGGCCGGCACTACAAGGCCCAAATATTTTACCGTGAGTACCTGGGGATTGGGTTTCTGGTTTATGGTAAAGGGTAAGTGTTCAGTGCTCAAAGTATCACCGCAGGTGCTGCTGTTTCAAGTGATATCGTCAAGGTTGGACGGCGCTACAAGGCCCAGATATTCTCCAGTGAGTGTTCAGGCTCAGGATATTGGGTGGCTGCTATTCTCGTCAGTTGCTGCTGTAGGGTATAGGCTCATGTACTCTCATTGGTGTTGCTGCTGCCAAAGGACTCCGTCCCAAAAGACTCCGGTCCAAAGGACTCCGGTCCAAAGGACTACGGTCGAAAGGACCCCGGTCGAAAGGACCCCAGTCGAAAGGACTCCGGTCCAAAGGGCTCCGACTCCGGTCCAAAGGACTCCGGTCCAAAGGACTCCGGCGAAATGGACTCCAGTCCAAAGGATTCCGGTCCAAAGGACTCCGGTCCACGGTCCAAAGTACTCCGGTCCAAAGTACTCCGGTCCAAAGGACTCCGGTCCAAACGACTCCGGTCCAAACAACTCCGTTCCAAACGACTCCAGTCCAAACGACTCCGGTCCAAACGACTCCGGTCCAAACGACTCCGGTCCAAACGACTCTGGTCGAAAGGACTCCGGTCCAAACGACTCCGGTCGAAAGGACTCCGGTCGAAAGGATCCCGGTCGAAAGGACTCCGGTCCAAAGGACTCCGGTCCAACGGACTCCGGTCCAAAGGACTCCGGTCCCAAGGACTCCGGTCCCAAGGACTCTGGTCCCAAGGACTCCGGTCCAAAGGACTCGGTCCAAAGGACTCCGGTCCAAAGGACTCCGGTCCAACGGACTCCGGTCCAAAGGACTCCGGTCGAAAGGAATCCAGTCCAAAGGACTCCGTTCGAAAGGACTCCGTTCGAAAGGACTCCGGTCGAAAGGACCCCGGTCCAAAGGACCCCGGTCCAACGGACTCCGGTCGAACGGACTTGTTCAAAGAACTCCGTTCCAAAGGACTCCGGTCCAAAGGACTCCGGCCCAAAGGACTCCAGCCCAGAGGACTCCGGCCCAAAGGACTCCGGTCCAAAGTACTCAGGTCCAAAGTACTCTGGCCCCGAGGACTCCGGTCCAAAGGACTCCGGTCCAATGCACTCCGGTCCAAAGCACTCCAGTCCAAAGCACTCCGGTCCAAAGCACTCCGGTGCAAGGCACTCTGGTCCAAAGCACTCCGGTCGAAAGCACGCCGGTCGAAAGCACTCCGGTCGAAAGCACTCGGGTCGAAAGCACTCGGGTCGAAAGCCCTCCGGTCGAAAGCACTTTGGTGGAAAGCACTCTGGTGGAAAGCACTCCAGTTGAAAGCACTCCGGTCGAAAGCATCCCGGTCGAAAGCACTCCGGTCAAAAGAACTCTTTCGAAAGCACTCCGGTCGAAAGGACATGGATTGAAAGCTCACTGATCGAAGCTCACCAGTCCCTCGATGCCCCCATCGTATTAACCCCAACCCCCTCTCCTGCCCTTTTCTTCCTCACCCACCCCCTTGCAGCCCAGCGCACACCAGACAGGTGCCCCCCTGCTGTATCTTTGCTTCTTTGCTAGTCGCTGCCTCCACTCTCCCCTCCTACTCACCCCACGTCCAACTTTCGCCCTACCCACCCCCATGCTCTCCTTTCTTCCCCATCCACCCCTTGCAGCCCAGCGCACGCCAGACAGCTTCCCTCTGCAGCATCTGCCCTCCCTTGAACACTGACACCTGATCAGCTCTGCTGCCCCTTGGTGTCCCCCCCCTCTCTGCCCACCCCTTGCAGCCCAGCGCACATCGGACAGTTCCCCTCTGCAGCACCTGCCCTCTTTTGCCAGTCCTCCGCTCAGCAGACGCATACAATCAGCCCCTTCTTTCCCTCCCGCCCTCTTCCCACCCTTGCAGCCCAGCGCACAGAGACAGCTCCCCTCTGCAGCACGCCAGACCCTCCTTCAATGCTCCCACGCCTGATCAACCCGCGCCCCACTTCCCCCAACCTTCCTGTACCCCTTTCTTCCCCACCCACCCCCTGCAGCCCAGCGCACGCCAGACAGCTCCCCGCTGCAGCACGTGCCCTTGTTTGCCAGTCCCTCCTTTAACGCCCTCTCCCCCCTACTCACCCCCTGACTGACCTTTTCCCAACCCCCATGCTCCCTTTTCTTCCCCACCCACCCCCTGCAGCCCAGCGCACGCCTGACAGTTCCCCGCTGCAGCACCTGCCCTCCTTTGCCAGCCCCTCCTTCAACGCCCTCTCCCCCCACGGCTCCTCCCCTCCCCCCTCCATGAAACTAGACCCCCTCTTTGCTGCTGCTGCTGCTGCAGGTAGGGTTACCGCAGTTGGCCACTCCCTCTCCCCTCTCCGCACCTCAGTCGCTCGCTCGCACTCGGCTGACAACCCATCCCCACTGCTCAAACCTGCTGCCGCTCCTGTTATCAGAGCTGCTCCTATCGAGTACAGGGTTGCTGGTTACACAGTCTCTGGTAACACTGTAATGGCTCCCTTCGCTGAGACAGGTCCTGCTGTTCCTGCTGCTCCTGGTAACTCCTCTTCTGCCTCTGCGTCTGCTGCTGCTGCTGCGGCTTTCTGGGGCATGAGCAGGGAAGCAATGGCAAGCAGAGCTGCCGGTGCTGACACTGCAGGCACCAAGCTTCCCTCCTCGTTCTCTGCATCATCTGCGGGGCAAAGGGCCACCTCGTTCCCTGTGCCTGCCCGTGACCTGGGGGGGGCTGGGGTGAGTGGGAGCAGCAGGAGCAGTGGCGCAGTTGCTATGGGTAAATCTGATGCTGCTGGTGTCAATGTGACGGGGAAGGCTGAGGGGCAGGGAAGGAGTGATTCTGGTGCGCTGAGTGCAGCAAACAGAGGGATTGGTGGTACGGGGAATGGAATCGTTGGGGGGCAGAGGGGAGAGGGTGGGGTAACGGTAAGTGAGAAGCCTGGTGCTGGGGAGAGTGGAGGGGCGCAGGTGGAGAGCCAGAGTGGGATCTTCCAAGGGGCGCTGGGGAAGTTCTCGCAGTTTTTCAAGTGATCTAGAGTTGCTCGCTTCAACCGTAGGGGAGAGAGAGGGCGAGTGTGGAGAGTGGGATCTTCCAAGGGGCGCTGGGAAAGTTCTTGCAGTTCTTCAAATGAGTGGTTACCTGCGTTGTTCTGTTCACCATTAGGGGAGAGGCCGGGTGGAGAGGAGAGTACATGGGCACAGGTCGGGTTGGAAAGACACAGTCTGATCTTGCAAGGGGCGCTGGGGAAGTTCTCGCAGTTCTTCAACTTACGTGTTGCTCACTCTACTGGTAGCGTGTAACCTTATGGAATGGATTTCTTGGTGCAATGAGTGAGGCACTGGTAGGGGAGACGGCTGGCGGGGAGTGGGGGATGGGGGCACAAGTGGAAAGCCAGAGTGGAATCTTCTTCGGGGTGTTCTTGTCAACATGGTATTTGCATATGTTTATAGAGTAGATAGGTGCATGCTTATAGAGGTTACAACCCCTCAGAACAAAAGCACCCTATATCTCGCATTCTAGTTCATTCAGTTACTCTGAGATGGTATTGGCTAGGTTAGGTCCGCTCACCCGCGCTTCCACTCTAGACCGCCCTAGCCGCCCTAGCCCGCCCTAGCCTGCCCTAGCTGCCCTAGCTCACAGCTGGCCCCTCGCCCGCTGGCCTCGTGCTCGTCGGCCCTAGCTCGCCGGCCTTTCGCCCGCTGGCCCTGCGCTCGCCCGCTGGGCCCGCACTCGCCCGCTGGGCCCGCGCTCGCCCGCTGGGCCCGCGCTCGCCAGCTGACCCTAGCTCGTCGGCCGTCACTAGCCGCGGTCGCTAGCCGCCCGTCGCTAGCCGCTCGCCCGCTGGCCCCCGTCGCTAGCTGCCCGCCGTGGCCCCTCGCTCGCCCGCTGGCCCTTCGCTTTCCGCCCGTTGGCCCCCCACTTGCCGGCCCTAGCTCGCTCGCTAGCCCTAGCTCGCCGGCCCTAGCTCGCCGGCCCTAACTCGCTCGCCGGGTCTATCTCGCCCGCCGGCCCTAGCTCGCCGGCCCCCGCTCGCCAGCCCCAGCTCGCCGGTGCTCGCTCGCCGGCCCGCGCTCGCTAGCCGGCCCCTGATCGCGCCAGCCCCAGCTTCTGCCGGACCCAGTTTGAGCCGGCCCCCATTCGCGCCGGCCCCAGCTCCTTCTGCCCCTGCGCGCCACCGCCGCGCCGCTGGACTCTGCTTGTGGAGCCACGCCGTCCCAGCTCGCCGTGGCGCGGTGCCGCCGTGCCGTTGTGCCGTCGTGCCGCTGTGTCGTCGTACCGCCGTGTCGCTGTGCCGCCGTGCTGCCGTAGCCGTGGCGATGGCGGACGATGTGCTCCGCCTTGACGCGAAGGGTCGGGCGGTTGATTTTGAGGCGTGGCTCATCGACCTTCGCCATCAGCTGACGGGTCAGCGTCAGGATGGCTATTCACTGGCCGTCCATCTCGCCGGTAAGCTCCTCTGCCCCGACACATGTGCTCCCCTCTCTGACACCCCCACGTCTGCTGAGCGTGAGGCCTTTGACGTTGTTGAGCTTGCCTGCTCTGTCTGGGAGTCGCGCGACACCGTAGCGCAGCTTGCTATCAGTTACGCCCTCCCCATGTCTGAGCGTCCCCGCTTTACGGCTGTAGCGAATGCGAAGGAATACTTAGGTGCGGTCATTACGCGCTATTCCACCCCCTCTGCCTGTGCCGGCTGTCTCATCCTCCCCATGATATTCCTTGATCTTGCGTCCTTCCCCACTGTCGCTGATCTTACCACTCATCTATGCGCCCTTGAAACTATCTACCGCGCTACTAGCACTGAGGCCCAGCTTGCTGCATTCCCTCCTCCCCTTTGAGCTACCATTTACCTCATTGCCACGCGCCTTCCTGACCACCTCGCCACTGCCCGTGACCACTTTTTTAGTCAGCACCTAGGTGACCTCACCCTTACTGCCTTTGTCACCACCCTGTCCGCGATAGAGACCCGCAAGCGCACTATCGCCCAGTCTAGAGGTACTGCGGCGGTCCCTATCTTTCAGGGTTGTGCTCCTTCCCAGTGCACTTACTCTGACGTTTCTGCCGTTGTCACTGAGACAGCCCCTGCTGCTGAGGCCGCTGCGGCGACGGCCTCCGCACAGCCTTGTCCGGGTAAGGGACGCCGCCCCAATGGGCGGCGTGGCAGAGGGAGGGGTGGTGGGGGTGGCGGTGGTGGTGCAAGTGCCGGAGGTACCGACGAGGGGGCCGGGGCTGATCCTCCTGAGCAGCAGCAGGAGCAGCAGCCGCAGCAGCAGCAATCGAAGCAGCAGCAGTGGGGTCGCCTCCCGCCAGGGTGGCCCAACGACTCCAGTGGTGGTGGCCGCAATGGCGGCCCTCCTTTGTTGCAGCAGCAGCAGGAGCACCAGTGGGGTCGCCTCCCACGGGGGTGGCCCGACGGCTATAGTGCTGCGTCCGGCATAGGACCTTTTGCCTTGTTTAGCCTTGGCTCTACACTAGCTCCTCCACCGACTGACGCTACCGATGCTCTCTCCTTCACGCTAGACTCTTGTGTGTCAGCCTGTTTCTTCCGCGACCACACTGCACTTACACCGGTTGCCACCCCTGCCGCTGTCGTGCTTGCTGTCCCCTCTTCCGGTCCGGTAGTTGCACGTAGCTCCACTACCCTTCCCTGTCCAGCGGTTCCCTCGGGCTCCCTTACAGACTTGCACATCCCCCTGTTCTCCAGGAACCTCGTTGGTGGTAGCTGTTTTTAGGACCTTGGCGTCACCACTACGTTTCCTAGCCACGAGCAGTACGCTGTCTGTACCGAGGCCGCCACAGGTGCCCCCCTCACCATGTTCCCCCGGGACCCGGTGTCTGGCCTGTTCACGCTGGACACTGCGTCCCCGCTGGTGAGGGCGTCCCCCCAGGTGCCTGCATTTATCCAGGTCGCTGCGGCTTGCTTGTGTCGATCGCTCACCCACCCGTCGCTGCTGTGGCACCACCGCTTAGGTCACCCTGCACTCCCATGTCTACGTCACATGTCCCAGTACAGTCTTGTCTTAGGTCTTCCTGCGTCGCTCCCTGCTCTCCCTCCCTCTCCTGCGTCGCCGTGCACGCCCTGCATCATGGGCTGGCTGCGCCGTGCTCCTCACTCCTCCTCGCTTCCCCCTACCACTGCGCCACTCCAGACCCTGCACCTGGACGTCTAGGGCCCAGCCCCTGTCCCTGGGCCTCGTCGAGAGCGCTACATTCTAGTGCTTGTCGACGACTATGCATGCTACGCCACGGTGTTTCTCCTGGAGCAGAAGGCCAACGTGCCTGACGTTCCTATCCCGTGGGTCGTAGCTGCGCGAGTCCACCGCGGCCCCCTTGTACTGTGTTTTCTTTTCGACCGCGACGGCAAGTTCGCCTCCGGTCGACTTGGCCAGTTTTGTCGTGCGGAGGGCATCACCCAGTCGTACACACTGCCGGACTCCCCGCAGCAGAATGGGGTCGCTGAGCGACGCATCGGTTTGGTCATGGAGGTGGCTCGTACCTCCATGATCCATGCCGATGCACCCCATTTTTTGTGGCCGTTCACTGTTCGTTACGCCGCTCACCACCTTAACATGTGGCCACACTCCCAGCGGCCATAGGTTCCGCCGAACCTCCTCTGGACCGGGTCCCCTAGTGACGCGTCTGCGTTCTATGTCTGGGGCTGCCTCACTCACGTTCGTGCCTCTTGCACGGACAAGTTCTCTGTTCGCACTGTCCCTTGTGTCTTCCTTGGCTTCCTCATAGACGCGTCTGACTGGCACTTTTACCACCCGCCGTCTCACCACTTCTTTCCTTCTCGTGACGTCACCTTTGATGCGCCTATCTCCTTCTACACCCGCTTTCCCCACCAAGGTCTCCAGGTTACTCCGCCCCTGTTTCTGGTTCCCCCTCCCCCAATAGCCCTTGCTCCTCTCCCTCCCCATCCTGCTCCGTCTTGTGTGTCTCATGTCACTCCCCTCACGTCAGTTGTCCCGGTAGAGGAGTCGGCTGACTCTGGGCGCCCTGCGGCTCCGGTTTTGCAGCCTATCTCCGCCCCAGTGTCTTCTCCTCTACCTCCGCAGCAGCCGCCGCCGTCGCAGCCGCAGCAGCAGCAGCCGTCGCCACCGTCGTCGCAGCCACCGCAGCAGCCGCAGTCGCCGCTGCCGCACAGGTCCGCGAGCTCTGGGGGTGCGGGCGTTGAGGAGGGTGCTAGTCCTGGGGGTACTATCGTGGCTTGTCCCAGCGGTCCTGGGGGTGGCACCGGTGCTAGAGAGGGTTCTCATTTTGGGGGTGATGGTTATGAGGGTGCTAGTCCCAGGGGTACTGTCGTGGCTTGTCCCGACGGTCCTTACGTGGCACCGGTGCTGGAGAGGGTTCTCATTCTGGGGGTGTTGTCGTGGAGCGTCCCGGAGGTAGCCGTGGTGCGGTTGGAGGTTCTGGCATCGGCGTGGAGCCGCAACAGCAGTTGGCGCAGTAGCAGCACTTGCCGCCAGTGTCCGCCCTGCGCCTCCTGGGTCTTCCCTCCCCCGACCGCCCGCTTGCGCCTCCCCCGCCGTCGCCTTCCCAGTCTGTCTACGGCCCTGTGCTTCCTCCGCCGGACTCGTCCCCGACTCGTTTCCCCCCTCGTTCTCCTCTTGTGTTTCCTCCCTTGTCTCCCAACCCGACCCCCCCCCTCCCGCTGGTGGTCTCACCGTGCCTCACGTGCTCGTCCTGTTTCTCCTGTCTAGCGCTCTCACCTAATGTTGCTCCGCTCTCACACGTCTCATGCTCCTCTTCTACCGTCTCCTCCTCGGTCGTCGTTTGTTGTCTCTCCGCCTTCTCTGTCTGACTTCCTCCGTGTCTCTGACTTCCTCCGTATCTCTGACTTCCTCCGTGCCGCTAGTCCGCTTGTTCATCGTGTTCTCGCCTTTCTTGTTGCCGACCCGTCCGTTCCTGTCTCCAGTCTTGACGCTCTTGTAATTGCCGTCGCTGACTTTGCCTCTACCCGCCGCCTTGACCACGCCACAGCTCTGGTCTCTGAACCTGCCCGTCCTTCGTCCATCGGGGGTGCACGCAATGACGTCCTAGAGGACACGCAGTACGAGCTAGCTTTCCTGTCCGAGGCCGCTCCCCATCTCTGCTCCATGCTGCTAGTCCTTGAAGGTCACCCAGACGCCCTTGACATCCCGACCCCTTGCACTTACGCTGAGGCGACTTCGGGACCCTGGGCCTCTCACCGGATAGCTCTCGTGGACGCGGAGATGGCATCTTGGAGATCAGCCAGCACCTACGTCGACACAGTTCCCCCACCTGGGGTGAACGTAGTCGATGGCCGGTGGCTCTTCAAGGTGAAGCGCCCTCCTTGAGAGCCGCCGATGTTCAAGGCGCACTACGTTGCTAGAGGCTTCGGTCAACGCGAGCGTGTGGACTTCTTTCAGACCTTCGCCTCGACCCCGAAGATGACCACTCTTCGGGCGCTGCTACACGTAGCAGCACAGCATGACTATGAGCTGCACTCCCTCGACTTCCAAACAGCATTCCTTCATGACAGTCTGCACGAGTAGGTC